GTATCACTATTGTTTTTCTTCTTAGTGAGAAGGAACGTGATCACTTCTTTGCCAGTAGTGTTCCACTTCAACCAGTAGCATTTTCTCTGGAAAAAGTATTTCATTTCCAATTTTTCCTCCTCGGAGGCTGAACACTTTGGTTCTTTATTACTATTGACAGTCAGGATGAGAGTCAGGAGCATAGGTTCTTGACTTTTATTCCGCTCCCCCAAAGTGACAGAGTGCTTCATTGAAGCTAGACCAACAGGTCAGCTCTAGTTTTAGTTTAATAGTATATTTCATATTTTATACTGAAGACTATGATTTGATCTATATATTTTATTTTAATTGGCCTGGGCTGTAACACGGTAAAACTGGTATGGATGCATCTTAGATTTAAAATTATTTTAAAATTAAGGCGTTTGTCTCTATTATATTCTACTTGTTAAAACTGCAGGTTCAGTATGTAACTATAATACAGTAGTCAACACACTTATTTAATATTTTAAGGTTGAATTAGGATGAGACCTTGAACTGTTGCTTCAGATCTCGTTCCATTGTAGAGTAGAATGAGCAACAAGTTCCTTAGTGGCAAGTCCAGGGTGTCACAAATCTATGATTATTCAGGTTCTGGGTCCCGTTATTTTACACATCTATCACGCCCTGATTATCTCAAGTTACTCGTACTACCCACGTCCCCCACAGTCATGTGACCGTAGCAGGGCCAAACTTCTGCCTTGGGGTGTGGTGTGCTGTTCGACTACAGGTGGCAGGGAAGGGGGTCCGGGCCCACCCATGCTCCCAGATCCGGGCCCAGGGCCCTAACACTGGGAATCTCGTCCCCAGTGGTAGCAGGTGGGGGTTTACCCCTAAACGCGCCCACTCTCGGGCTCCATGACCCTACCCTGGGCCTCTGTCGACCCCGGCGGGGTTATCCTCCCTTCTCGTCCCTCCCCGAGTTCTGGCCGCCATACCTTCCTCTGTTCCCCACTGTCCTCCCTGCCTGTGTTCCCCCTCCCATTTTTATCCTTTCCCCGCTCTCTTGTTCGGCATGTGACGTCATCCTCCCCTCCCTGTCCATCGCTCCAGTGACGTCATGCAACGCTGCCAGCCGCGGGTGTTCTCCCATTACCCTGGTAATAACAGCAAGAAGTCCTGTGGCACTTTATAAACTAACAGATTTATTGGAGCATAAGCTTTCGTGGGCAAAGACACACTTCGTCAGATGCATGTAGTGGAAATTCCAGAGGCAGGTATAAATATACAGGCATAAGAAAAGAGTTCCAGTCAAGAGTAAGGCTAGATATAACGAGGTCAATTCAGTCAGGGAGGATGAGGCCCACTTCTAGCAGCTGATGTGGAGGTGTGAACACCAAGAGTGGAGAAACTGCTGTTCTTGTAGATTCAGACTAACACAGCTACCCCTCTGAAACTTATATTGGCAATGGTTGAGTTGAGACGTGAGGTTGGAGATTATAACACAGCAACTACAACAAAGGAGAAGAAAATACTTAAAATCTTGCAGAACAACAGACCATGGAAAATAAAGAGAGATTGGGTTTAAAAAAAGTGTGGCAATATGTTTAAAAATTAGGTAACCAAGTGGGGAAAGGAAAAGCTATGTAAGTCAGTAAATTAATATTTGTTCTCAAACCAGTCACTATGAAATGGACATGGATATAATCTGTTCACTTTCCAAGTGGTATAAAATAAATTGGATTATTTTTGGTGATCCACAGTCACTGGTAAATGCAGACCTGCTATAATAATGGAAGAGCCATTTCCTAGGGACATTAATATATGAACAGAAGCTATTTCAGGACATACGTGATTTGGGTAAACTCTATCTGTGATGTAATAGACTCAGATATTATTTCCAACTTAAGAGTAAATGTGACAATCTCACAAGGTTCCAATGGTTGTTATTGATTTTTAATGTCAATAAAAAGGTGTACTGACCCTTGACAATTTTAGAGATAGGCCCGCAATATTGTTCCAAGAGCATTACTTCTAGAATAGACAAGTAGTCACTAAGAAATAGGAACTGGCCCCAGGAAAGCAATCTGGGGTTTGGGAAAAAGAACCCATACTTCTAAATGCTTTTAAATCTCCTTCTTGATGTTCCTCACTCCAGCCTTAGATAATTGGACACTACGCTGCATCACCTAAAGTGAGGGGTCTCCTGAGAGCTCAAACTTTATTTTTTGGATATAAGATTGACTAGTTTCACTTGAGCTGACATAAATTGATATGATTAAAATACTTTTTCTTTTAATTTTAAATAAGGGAAAATTGAGTTCTGCTTTGTGGGTAGAGTATGTGTGTGTGAAAGTCCTAAGTTAAACAAAATCCGTTCTTTCAGTATTATTTTAGCTTGGTGGCACTGGCAAGAAAGCATCTTGCTGAATGAAAATCAGACATGTATTATATATGTATTCCTTTCCTGAATGCCTGACATACACCAAAAGGCTAATACATAAAAACATAGTTACAAGCCACAGCTGATATACTCTATCAGAAAACTGTAATAGTGTAATAATTTTGTTATAATTATTTTGATTGACTGATTGTTATTCCGAAAGATTTTATTCAGTTACATTCATTTTGTAATTCCTGTTTAGTAAGTTGCTTCTAGTGGTGACCTCTTGGCAGTTTTGTTTCTAACTTCCCAAAAAATATTCCTCAGTTAATCACAAAAGTAATAGAGATGTAGCCGTGTTAGTCTGGTCTTGCTGAAACAAAAGACAGGACTATGCAGCACTTTAAAGACTAACAAGATGGTTTATTAGATGATGAGCTTTCGTGGGCCAGACCCACTTCCTCAGATCAAATTGTGAAAGAAAATTGGCATGACCATATATATATATATATATATATTTTGAAATATGTGTTATTCCTTCCGGAAAGGAGGAGGAGTTAGCCTTTATTTTGAAATAACGGGTTTGGTAGAGCAGATGCTTCACTTGTTATTTTGAAATAACTCCCCAATGTGTAGACCAGAGATTAGAAATTAACACATTTATTAGGGCATAAACTTTCATGAGTAAAACCCACTTCATCAGATGAGTTGGAGTGGCAATTACAGTCAGGAGTATAAATAAGAACAACAAAAGAAGTTACTTGTCAACTATAAGGCCAGCATTAATGAGGCTAATCAAGTCAGGGTGGATGTGTCTCCATCACAGCATTTGATCTGGAGATGTGAATATCACAAGAGGGGGGAAGTGCTGCTGCACTTATAGTGGAGCATCCATGAGGACATTACTTGAGGAAGACCTATACTTTCAAAGTTCTTCCTAAATATCATATAAATACCTCATACACATTGACCTTCATCCTGCAGTAAGTTTTGGATGGGTAGTCTCTGAGCCTGTACAGATGCACACTGACTTGAGTTGGAATGCATTCTGTTCTGTCCACATGGGCCTGACTGAAGGACTGAGACAGAGGCTGGTGGATATTTATGTAGCAATTCTGACTTCTTAAAAGACAATTTTATTGTGATCATTTAAATTGCTTAAACTTTACTTATATGTCTGATAGAGCTATTTAAAGTGGTATATCTTGAGAGGAGACAGATAGATATAGACAGACATAAATAAAAAAACCTCTGAAATTTATTTTTAAGAGTGTGTACATATGCGGAGGCATAGTAGCTGGTGGGTTCTTGCTCTCCTAGAGGCACATCTACACTACACAGAAGAGTAACACTGCCATAGTCGATCTTCTGGGGTCTTATTTAGCAGGTGTAGTATAGACCCAAGAAATCGAATTCAAAGGACACCCCTGTCGGTGCCGGTACTCCAAAGGGAGAGTTTGAGCCCATCAACCTCCCATTGTGTGGATGGGGATTTAAGATACGTCGAGTTGTGTATCTTACTTTGACTTTCCCATGTAATGTACACCAGGTCCTATTCTGGCTAGCAAGCATCTTTCCAGCAAGGGCTGAAGGGTGAATTCTAGAGCAATACTGTGAAACTGTTGGGCTACGTCTACACTGGCCCCCAAATTCTGGAAAAGGGATGCAAAGCAGGTAAGTCAGCATAGGGAAATCCGCGGGGGATTTAAATATCCCAGCGGATTTAAATAAACATGTCCGCCGCTTTTTTTCCGGCTTGGGGAAAAGCCAGGAAAAAAGCGTCTAGACTGGCGCGAACCTCCGGAATAAAGCCATTTTCCAGAGTCGGAGAATCGCGTCCTTGAAAGTATTTAAATCCCCCGCGGATTTGCAATTCCGAAGTGTCTCATTAGCATCCCTTTTCTGGAAAGGGATGCCAATGTAGACACAGCCTCGGAGG